CAGTTGTAGCAGTTTAGTCGCTTCCAGCTCAATCCGTGCGAGCTGCAAATGAAAATCACCACTCAGGCCATTATTAAAAACGTGTCACGCACTTGCTGCCTGAAAGTCACCTCAATTAACCAGAACACAGGCGGTTGTGTGTGTTCTCAGTGTGTGTACACACAGAGGTCTGTGCCTGAACATACACCCCCTACTCCCTGCATCTCACTGGCTAGGAAACACAGGACAACTTGCAGAACCCCCACCTGGCAGGTGGGACTTGATTTGGTCTGAGGCAAGTCTGGGAGAGAGAGCTGGGGTCCGAGGCGGCAGCTCCGCCTCCTACAATAGTGCCAACCGTGTCCTTCAACCAGAGTTTCAGCAAGACTGTGACCCTCAGGCTCTGGCAGACAGATCCAAGCATGGGGCTCACCCTTCCCAGGAAACGGATGCTGAAACCCAACAGGGTGTCTAGTTACTATCTGCTGACCTCAAAACTTAGTTAATCTCAGAAACATGGTTTCTGAGATCCTCCTTTGCTGAGGTTTTGTAAGATTGCTGACCCTGCCATTGTGCTTTATTGTTTTTAGTTACCTAAATAGAAATCTTTCTTTCTTTCTTTCTTTCTTTCTTTCTTTCTTTCTTTCTTTCTTTCTTTCTTTCTTTCTTTCTTTCTTTCTTTCTTTCTTTCTTTGATATGTCTTTATTGATTTCAGAGAGAAGGGAGAGGGAGAGAGAGAAACATCAATGATGAGAGTCTCATTGATCAGCTGCCTCCTGCACACCCCTTACTGGGGATCGAGCCCACAACCGGGCATGTGCCTTGACTGGGAATCGAATCAAGGTCTCCTGGATCACAGGTCGATGCTCAGCCATTTAGACACACCCACCGGGCTAGAAATCTCTATTTAAATTTTTTTTTTCAATTACAGTTGACTTACAATATTATATTACTTTCAGGTGTACAACCCTGTGGTCAGACATCATATGACTTACTAAGTGATCATCCCAGTAAGTCTCCTACCCATCTAATACCATACATAGTTATTACAATATTATGGACTATATTTTGAAGATGCTGCTGTTTTGTGTGCTGTCTGGTCCTGAAGGAGTGGGGATGAGTGGAAAAAAGAGAGGAGCACATGTCCTTTCTGCGCTGAGCAGAGGACAAGTGTGTCTTCTGCTGGCAGTAGCAACCTCTGTGGTCCTGTTGCCGACTTGCTATCCATGGCTCTGTCCCCTGGAGCCCGGGGCAGCTTCTACCTTTGCTCACAGAGAACAGCAGCACGACTTTTCAGCAGTAGTTTTTTCTCACTGTCTTTGGGAAGCTGTGTTTCAGTGGTTCTGTAAAGACCAAAACCTGCAGTAGTTTTTTATTGTTACTGTAACCAATGACCACAAATGCAGTAGCTTGAAACAGCACACATTTATTTTCTCACAGTTCTGGAGGTCAGAAGTCCAGCATTGGGCTGAAATCAAGAGCTGTGTTTCCTCTGGAAGCTCCAGGAGATATGTTTTCTGGCCTTTTCCAGCTTTTAGAGGCTGCCTGCATTCCTTGGCTCATGGCCCCTTTTATCTTCAAAGCCAGCAGTGTCCTGAAATGATATAAATATATGACACGTGCTTTCATATATGTATTTCTCTGGGGAAGACATCCACAGTTTTCCGTAGGTACTTAAAGGGTCTGTGATCTTCCAAATGTGAAGAACCACAGATGTAGAATAAGAAATTATAATAATGTCATGCTTTATGGGAGGCACCAAGCCATGGGTCCTCCACTGGCACAGAGAATGTTAGAGCTGGACATCTGACCCTCTCAGCTGAGCAAGGACAAGGCACAGGAAGGGACTAGACGGGCTTGGCCAAGGCCAACACTGGCTCCAGCAGATCCTGGGCTCCATCCCTATGCTCCAGCCATCCTGCCCTACGCAGACATTTCTGTGGGCTTCTCTCCCAGAGTTTCAGAATTGTAGCCCGAGGCTGTTTATAGTGATTGAACCCAGTGAGCCTAAGGCGACTGCTCTCTGCAGCTCAGCAGCTGGGCCACCGGCCAAGTGTTTTTTAAAAGAAGTGGGAATGTATTTGTTTGGGGCACACAAGAGCTGGCCCGTTTTATGAAACACATACAGTCCTCAAGTCATTTAAATAGAACCGTACCACCAAACGAAAAAACCTTCCGTTTCATCGTAACAACAAAGGGTGTCCATTTGGCTCTGATAAGCGTGACCAATGGCTTCATTTATCATTTCATAAGTGATAGGTCAATTCCAATGAGAATTCTAAGTTGTAATGTTGGGAATGCATAAGATAGGGACCTGGGAAGCCAGACCTCATGCTTGCCCCATAGTTTGGTTAATCTCATTGTATTTCACATAGAAAACCAGGAGGTCGGAGGCAGTGGGTGGAACACGGGGCTGGGAGTGTAAAGGTCTGAGTTCTGACCCCTAGTCTGGGGCTGCCCAGGGAAACTCCCTGTGATGATGGGAGACCCTGACCCCCCAGGCTTTTATCCTGGGGCCAGAGCCTGGCCCTGGTGAGCCCCAGACTTGGACTTGTCCTCTGCAGACAGGTGTGCTAACCCTCCGATCCCTCACCTGGGACCCAGGTGCTTTCTGCAGGCCAGGACATTTCTCCTGCTGCTGCCAACCTTCTGGGAACCCTCAGGATGTCAAAATGCATTATATGGTGGCTCTTTTGCAGACTGACTTCCAAGTCCAATCCTCACACCTTCAGGGGGTGTTTGTGTGCATGTGTGTGCCTATGTGAGAGAGGGAGATGTGAGCTGAATACCTGAGTCACTGTATACCTGGCAGGTTTTAAAAAGCAGGTGGCTTTTATTGAAAGCTGCAGCATGGTGATTGGGAGGAACACGGATTCTCACGTGACCGCTGGTGCCAGCATTTCCTCGCCCGGGGCAGGCAAGCTCACAGGCCGTGCACATTCTGTAGGCAAATTGAGCAGAGGCCTGCTTGGAAGGACTTCGGCTTGGGGGAAATCCACCTGATAATTTCACATCCTCTTACTGCCCCAGGCCAGGGTTTCATTTTAATGTGTCCTCATTTTGGGGTACAGGGGTTTTTGTTTATGGTTGTTTTTAAAAAATTATTATTTTTATTTTTTCCATCACCTTTTGTCCCCTCTGTGCCCCCTTCCACCTCCACCCATCCCTCTCCGCCCCCACAATCACCACACTGTGGACTCTGTCCATGTGTTGTTTACGTTTTTAAGCTGTTAGAAACCTCAGTAGAATCTGGCTGCTTTGGGAGGAAGGAATCTTCAGCAAGAGGGCTCAGGCCCACGGGGCAGGTCTTGGTCAGGCCCCTACTAGTGGGTTCCCGGGGGCAGGTGTGCTCCTGGGCTGGGGACCAATTCCTTCTGGCGACGCTGGCCTTGGGTTCCCACCCAAGTCTGCACCTGTCCCTCCATTGGCAAGATGAGGGCCCTCAGAGCAGCCCCCGCCCTCCTTCTTCCTTCTGACCTGAGCTGGGGGAGATCAGAGAAGGGCTGTAACTCCAGGTTCAGGGTGTTTACAACTTAGCCCCAAATAACAAGCCAACAGTGGTGCCCCTTTCCATGCCATCGCCAAGGCCTGTTCCGCGAGCCGCTAACTTCTGCAGAGACTTCTGGGCAATAGTTGAGGATACAGTGGTGTCCCGATTAGATTGTCCTGTCACTGTTCGTGGCTACACTCTAACTGTGGCTGACCCATGCACAACTGTCACGTAGGCAAAATCTGTCTCAGGCCCCAACCCACTTCCCCTTACCACCCTCCCTTTATTCAAAACCTACCACTCCTGTTTCCTTTTCCCAGGGCCTCGCTCTCAGCTTGCTGCCTGATAAACTCATCCACAGTGACCAGTAATAAGCACCAAGGTCCCTCCCCAAGCTAGAGCATTTAGCAGCAAGTACTTAGGCTCCAGAGGCAGAGACTGGGGAGGGGCAGGGATAAGTGGAATAAATGGAGATGGGAGAGGTTTGCAGCCCAACAGAGGCTCTGTGATCTTCCAGATCAGCAAGCCGGCTGGCCTGGGCACACTGTTCTGCTTTAGTTTCCTCAAGGGTAAAATGGGACGAAGGTCACTTCCTCAAGGGCTGGTTGTAATGATTAAATGATGTTCACATGCAGAGTGGCCTGGTGCACAGGGCTCCCCACGAATATTAAAAATGAGCTCCAAGAAACAGGGGCGAGGCCTGACTCATTCACTGAGCACCCAGCACAGAGTCTTGCTGAGGTAGAGGTTCATGAATTGATTGTGAGTGGATGGAGGAAGCACACATAGAGGGGCGCCTTTGGGTTCGGTACTTCTCTCTATATGTGGGGAGCGGGCTCTGGGGGTGACCATGAGCTTTGTTGCTTGACTGGGGTCTCTGCTGGCCCCCCTCTTAGAGACCGACCCCCATGTGGTGAGAAGCTGGCTCCTGATATGGCATCAGTCCTGCAATCGCCCAGAGCGTTCTGTGGTCATGGGGAGGCCATGATGGGGTGTTGAGGTTGGTAAAAAAAAAGTGGCAAGGATGGAAAAATAGACAAATCTTCACATCTCAGAAGAGACCAGAGGCTTTTGAGGAGAGGTTGGAGTGGGGTGTGGGGGTTCAGTCATGCAAAACAATAGACCTGAAGAGAATCTTCTGTTCCATCCATTCTTGCCTTGATGCCCACAGCAGCATCCTAACTGGTACCCAGGACCCACTTAGGGGCAAGCTTTAAACTTGCCAATTGGTGATATTTCAGTGTCNGGGGGTTCAGTCATGCAAAACAATAGACCTGAAGAGAATCTTCTGTTCCACAGAGACCAGCTTAGGGGCAAGCTTTAAACTTGCCAATTGGTGATATTTCAGTGTCTGTCTTCTGCAAGGTTAAGGCTTCATGTGTTCTCTCCTGATATCCCCCCCCCTCCCAAATGTCACCTGGGAGCTTTGAGAGCTGGTGTTGGCTGGGAGAGGAGGTCTGGGACCCTCACCAGGCTCTGTTGCAGAATGGCTGGGCTGGCTTGGCTTCCAGAATGGTCACCATAGAGGGCCATCGGTCCCACCTGGCTTTTGAGCAGTCATGCTGGCTTAAAGTGCTGTCCCTCTTGTGGGGCCTATTTGCCCATCCCCAGGCCTCAGACAACCCACCAGGTCTGGGGGCATTCAAGGGACCAGGGATGTTGCTTCCTGCTCACCAATCAGCCACTGTCCTCCAAGGCAACCTGTGGCCCTGTGGGTGCCATGCCCGCTGAGGCCAAGATTTCTGAGAGGCTGGCACCTGGCTTGGGCTGTGCCAAGGCACAAGCCTTCAGCCTCCTCTTTGCACCCATCTTGATGTTTCTACATCTCCCCTTCCCTTATGACTCAGTCGGGTGGAGAGGCCTGAGGGGTGCAGGGGTAAGGACTCTGCGAATGACCCCTCCTCACTCTCCCTGCATTTCCTTTTTTCAGCTTCCACGGGGGAGGAAGGGGCTAGCTTTCCACTTCCTCTTTTTATTATTATTTTTTAACCACAGACACCTCCACTGATATTTTTTCCTTACTGTTTGCATAAGCCTCACAGCTCGGCTGCAATGGCCAAAGGGCTCTTCTCTAAACTGGAAGACATGGCAGATGTAGGCGGCAAGGCCGGGTCCTGATCGCTACCCTCCTCCCTTACGCATCAACACCTGCTCGCCCAAGTCGCCATCCATTCTTGCCTTGATGCCCACAGCAGCATCCTAACTGGTACCCAGGACCCACTCCTGCTCCTCTGTGCTGCCAGGTTGAACTTTCTGAAACATACATGAGATCCCATCATATCACATCACGTACACCCCCAGTCTTAAAGCCCTTCTATGACTTCTCATTGCTCTTAGGAGCAAGTGAAATCTTCAGTAAGGCTTGCAAGGCTCGGCCTGGTCTTGGGCCTCCTCTCACAGCACCCTCTCCTTTCTGCCGCCATCGATGTCTTTGGTGGAACTTATGGGGCACGTTGGCCTCCTTGCTTGGACTTGGGAAGCCCAGTAACATAGCTACGGCCCTCTCTTAGGGTGGACGCGTTCTGCAGGTGGCTACTCATGTCCACTCTATGCTGATCCTTATTAGCTTAGGCTAATAAGAGAATCTGGTCTCTTAATCCTGGGAATTTACTCACCTTGGAGCCTGAGGCCCTCTACAAACTATCAGAAGCTACATGGTTCCAGTTAAGAAGTATATTCTATGCAAAGCATGAACTATTTTTTTTTTAAATGTAGATTTGTCTGATTCCCTTTGATTATGAGACTGTGCTCCAGAATATTCCCGGGGGAAATCACTCTTCAGAACCCTTTCTGGGTCTCGACAGACTCTTTGTTTTCCCATTGTAGCCACGGAAATAAAGAAGCCTTCTCCTGCCGGGGAATCCAGCTGGCTGTGGACTGGTTCCGGGAAAGAGGGCACACCTACATCAAAGTTTTTGTCCCCTCCTGGAGGAAAGACCCACCGAGAGCTGATACCCCTATTCGAGGTATGCTGGAGCAGACACCGCTTGCGAGGTACCATTCACCTGTCCTCAGCAGAGCTCCTGCGATGCTTTGCATTCAGTTATCTACGTAGCTGTTTGTCTGATGTCTGTCTTCCTCATGGGACTCTGAGCTCCATGAAGGCTCTGACTGTGTGTGCTCCCTGCCAAAGCCCTGACACCTAGCACAACACCTGGCACTGAGTAGGTGCTCAATATATAGTTGAATAAATGAATGAAAAAATTACTGCATTTTTTGGTGTGAATGACTGAGTTCCAAAAATAACTGTCTTACAACTCTTAACACACTGCGGAAAGATCAGATCTGCATCCTGCCCTCATAGAATATAGGATCTGAAAGAGACGTTCATTCAGTCTGGTGATATTTATTTATTGAACCCCTAGTCCAGTCTCTTCATAAAAATAACAATATATGCTTTGACTTTCAAAAAAAAGGAAACTGAGACCCAGAGAATTCTTAATTTTTAATTCTTATGTCAGAAATATCTCAAGCTACAAAAACAGGGCTTTGTTTTTGTTTGGCTTTCTTATAACAAGAAGTCAGATACTAAGCCATTGGCCTTGTGTCAGCCAAGTTGATGAATGTAGGGCTGACCTCCTGGTGATTCTGGCAGATTTCTCTGACTTTGTCTTCCAGCCTTTTTACCAAAAGGTTTTGTTTTTAATTCTATTGATTACCAGTTGCTTCTACTTCTTGTTTGGATTCTCCATGTAATTTTTAAATAAAGTGCTGTTCTTGTCTTAGGGATGCAGTATCTTTTTTACTATTTCTATAGTAATTCTTTACTATTTCTATAGACTGTCACAAATTCTCTTGAGTTCCACAAATCGTATTTATTTTTTCTGTGGTCAGTTCTCTTTGTTCTCTGTCTCTGTCTCTGTCTCTGTCTCTCTCTCTCTCTCTGTGTGTGTGTGTGTGTGTGTGTGTGTGCTGTTAGGTCTTCTCAAAAGTCTGATGATCCTTTGGTTGTCAATTTTTATTTTTGAATAAAAAACCAGATTGGTTAAATAATGATCTCTCTCTCTAAATATCTTTGCGATTGCCATGGGCTTTCTCTCTTAGCATGCGGCTTTTCCCTGAATGGCTGGGCTGAGCCCAGGTGGTGCTGGGCAGATTTCACCCAGCTGGCAGGCAGCTGGGCCCCGGCGGCGATGCTCTTACTCTAGGACGCCAGAGGCCACAGGGAACCTCCTCTTCCTCACTAGAGCTCCCCTTTCCTTCTCCTTGGGCACAGGCAAAGGGTGGATGCGGCTGCCCCCTGAGCAGCCCTCCCGTGAGCCATCCTGCCTTCTGCCGACTTCCCTCCCTCTCCACGTGCCTGGAGCTCTGGGTCCTTTCGGAGAAAGAGGCTCCCCCCCCCCACTGCAGCCTTCTGCGCACATTCTGGTGTGTGGCCCCCTCTGCACTGTAGGATCAATATGATCCTGTCTGCTTTCTGTCTTCCTAAAATCTGTCAAAATCCTGGGTTTGCCCATCTTTAATGTGACCGGGGATCCCCTCTCCTTTTGAGCTTCTTTGCTGCCATTGCAGTAGGATTAGGAGAAGCAGGGGCACAGGTGCTCGTGTGCAGTTCCCCATCAGGAGCTGGTCACCCCAAATTATTCTTTATGGCCTGAACATGGAGAATAGTGGCTTTCAATGGTTGTGTAATATTTAAATCTAGTACGGGTAAAGAGGAGGGAAATCATTTTGGGGTAGGGAAGGAACTGTTAAACAAGCCACCACAAGTGAGAGAAAGATTCATAAATTTGACTACGTAGAATCAAAGCCTCTCTTCATTAGGGGTTATTGTGAGAGCAATAAAATGAAAAGATGAGCCTCAAACTGGGAGAGGCTCTACATCACACATTCCCAATGAAGGGTTACTATCCAGGATCCATAGAGAATGTCTTCAAATTAATAAGACAAAGACAAAGGACCAATAGAAAGATCCATGAATAGGTCTTTCACAGAAAACATAAATGGCCAATTAACATGTGAAAAGATGCTCAATCTCATTAGTAACTAGAGAAATGCAAAATAAAACCACAACAAGAGGCCACTTTACACCCACCAAATTGGCAAATATTCAAAAACCTGAAAATGCCTCGTGTTGAGAAGGCGGCCTCAATGCTGCGCTGGTTGCTGGGTAGTAACGTGATATAACCGCTTTGGAAAACAGCTTGGCGTTATCTTGTGCAGTGCCCTTCCCTACAACTCAGCCGCATCACTCCCAGCGATGCACCCTAGAGAAACCCTTGAATTTCTGCACCCGGAGGCTTGTGTGCAAAGCTGACACGGTGACCCTATCACCACCACCAAACCTCACCAACACGAGGTCACATGAAGACAGCAAGTTGCACACGAACATGCGAACATGTGCAGTGTGAATCCATTTGTGCAAAGTCTAGAGGTTCACAATCCCATGGAAAATCAGCCTTCAGGGGATACATACATATCTATCTTTGAAAAATGAAAGCAAGGGAATTATAAACACAAAGCTCTAAAGACTGAGTTATCTTAGGGGGAATTCAGAGATGCAAGCCTGGAGGGGCAAGGGGGACTCCACAAGCACAGGCCATGTTCTGTGTCTCAGGGAGTGCTACATACTTAGCATTTAAGTAAATGATTCTTTGTACTCTGTACGTATCATGTACTTTTTCAAAGTCTGGAAACAATGGCATCTAGGAAAGGACTTTGACTTGGGGAGAAAACCCTTTGTGAAGCACATGCTAGTGCAACTTTTTGTGTAGAAGGGGTTCGCTTGCATGTCTCCAAAGGCAAAACTAAGGTCAAAGAGTAGACCTTCCAGGGACGTGGAATTCAGCTCCTGATGAGACATTTAACATTTGCACCACCTGATGTATAGGTCACCTTCTCACCAGTCCTGAGCTTATCCGGTCCACCTACAGACACTGAGGCAGGTGGAAGAGCTGCGATCCGCATTTTATAAATGTAAACACTGACATTCAAAGAGGGGTGAGGTACCCAAGAGCTGGAGCTAAGACCAGAATCCAGGCTGTATATTCTCAATCCTGGACTCTTCCCTTGACATTCTTATGTCCCTCAGAGCTGTCACTTATGAGATGCTCCATCTGGAAGGTGACCCAAGTAGATTGCTGTATCTGCACAGTGATTCTCAGCTAAGCGCTCATGCAGGAGCTTTCGAGGTGAATGCCAGGATCCCAGTAGTTCCCTAGGCGTTGCCAGGATTTCAGTTGTAACGTGAATGTCTTTCTCCAGAAAAAGGCCTCTTGTGTCTAAATTGACTCTTCCTTGTTGGGTACCATGCTCTGGATTCCTCATGACTCAGGCAGACAGAAGCCAAGAGTCTCTTGACTGGGGGCAGGGGGCTTATTCTGCTCAAGACCTCTCCTCTCTTCTGACATGCTGGGCCATAGGGTGGGGGAGGCGGGTGTTGGCTCAGAGGGCTCCCCTGAGTTTCCAAATGTGCTCCGTGATCTTAGGATGGTCCTTAGGGGTGGGGAGTCCTCCTGAGAAAGCCGCTACATGCTGTCCCCCTCCCTGTGGCCCCCAGAGCAGCACGTGCTGGAGGAGCTGGAGCGGCAGGCGGTGCTGGTGTACACCCCGTCCCGCAAGGTGAACGGCAAGCGCGTGGTCTGCTACGATGACCGCTACATCGTGAAGGTGGCCTACGAGTGGGATGGCATCATCGTCTCCAACGACAACTACCGCGACCTGCAAAGTGAGAACCCCGAGTGGAAGTGGTTCATTGAGCAGAGGCTGCTCATGTTCTCTTTCGTCAACGACCGGTACGTGGTGGCCGAGGGGGCCTGGCCCCGGGTGGGCTGTGGGTGATGGGAAGAAACCACTCCAACTAGCCCAGGCCCAACAGGGCTCATGGGCACAGGGCACCATGCCAGACCCAGAGGACACCCGCCCTGGAGACAGCTGGTCTGCGGTCGCCCTCTCTGCTCCCACAGGCCGCACAGTCTCCGTGTTTCTGGGTCTCCTCTCTTTTGGGACCAGCTTTCTCCAACAAGGCTGTTTTGCCCCAACTGCCCATGACCTTTTTCTTCCCGTGTCCACATCTAGCTGGCCCCACGTAGGGTTGTCCAGCAGGTGGGCCAAGTGCGGGCTTGGAGCACCATAAACTTTTTGCTTTTATCTTTAAAAAAAGATAAAAGTGCTCTTCTAGTAAGAGCACTGGAACAGTCATTGGGGGAAGTCTGAACTTTGCTGTACTTCCCTTTACTGTTTTTGTCTTCCCTTGTCTGTTTTCTTTTTTAAAAAATTTAATTTTTTTTCTTTTTCAATTTTTTCTTCTTTTATTTTTTAAAAATATGTTTTTATTGATTTCAGAGAGAGAGGAAGGGAAAGGGAGAGATAGAAACATCAATGATGAGAGGGTCATCATTGATCGGCCGCCTCCTGCACCC